AAAAGGTATTATTTTAAATACAATTAGAAATTCTCTAAATTTTTAATTATTTTTACTCAAATACTTTACAAAAACGGAAATTAGATAAAGATTTCAGCATTTTCATGTATGGTGTGATTAGCGCTCATGGGGTTTATTTTTAGGTACTTTTTATAAGTGGTTTAGCATGTGTTATTGGATTAGGGAGGACATTGGGATTTTTCTTTCAAAGCCAGAATGTAAAAGCATCACTTTCATTTTTTGCTGGCATAATTGTAGTTCTAGCAGGTTGGCCTTCTGTAGGAATGCTTTTTGAAACGTATGGGTTTATTTTATTATTTAGGTGGGTACTTAAATAGTTTAAGAGGTAAAAAATATGAATTTCATTATTGTTCGTGCGTTTTTTCAGTGAATTCTTCCCTGTGCTGGTTGCAATAAGTATATTAACAGATGGAGGCACAACTGAGGGAATATTCCCCTTGTATTTAATATTAGTATGTTTTATATGTGTGTTTCTTTGCAAGAATCAGACAAAGAAACAAACTTTATCTCAGCAGGGGCGGTTTAAGGTTCCCAACCGACATAAAAAGAAAAACCGTTTAACAAACGTATTTTATTACGGTCTTGTTTTATTATTTGCATTGATTTTTTATAAACTTGAACTTTATTACTTAGTTTACTTACTACTTACTTACTTACTTTTCAAGTTGATCTTTTGAATTGTAGTTATTTTAATGAGGCTCAGACACATATGCAGTCCCTTTACACAATAACCATCCTAGTTTTGACCGTAACCCATGGAATAAGTTTCTGCATTCATTTGGTCGAAAATTTAGTGTAACCTAGCCTAACCTAACCTAACAAATCTCATGTAGAATTTACCCCTAAGATTAGACGAAAAATCATTAGAATTGAGGAATTAATAATCAAACGTAGAACCAACAGACTATAGCATAGTTGTTAAGCAGTAGAGAGATCAAATTTCAACAATTCTTTATTATTTTTGAAATCATTGACAAACAATAAGTTCATTAATTATTTTATAATCAAAATTAAGAAAACTTTCTCTGTTTTATTGTTAGCATTTTTCTGCGGAATTCTTCGTATGCGTTTTTTTTGCCCAAATGTCGGATTATACCTCAGACTTTACTTGACCGATTTCGACAAATGAAAACAGAAGACCCTTCGATTTAGGTCGGTTGGTCGTGGTTGCTGTTGTCACCTCTCGTAGTTTAGTGGTCAGAACAATGGCGCGTAAAGCCAAAGTTCCCGGGTTCGATTCCCGGCGAGGGTGTGACAACAGCAACAATTTTTCCCTCATTAATTTGAGGTAGATTGTAGTGGGTAAATAAAAAATCGAAAAAATGATTTCAAATTAATATTGCATATTAATCCACTATTAAGTAACTCACAAGACCCTTGTCGTATACTAAAATATTATAGATTGAAATATTGACAGTGTATTTTAGGTAAAAGAAAATAAGAAAAACGGATTTTAAATTTTAGACAGAGCGAAGGCCGTGAATATTTCATTTAGAAGTTATTTTAGATTTCAAAAACGTGAATAGTTTGCATGACTGGTACCTACATGGTACTAACAGTTGAACTAATTTACAGAAAGTTCACAGCAACTTGTGAACCCTGTCAACAAAGTGTATGTATATCGATTACGTATAATAGTTACTTCAAGTGAACACGAAAATAACAATACCAACAAAAAACGATAAGTGCCTACCGTTTTACAATGATTCTGAAATGTCTAAACTAATACCAAAAATAAAAATAGGTTTTATACAAATTAAGACAACTGAAAGCAGTTGGAACTTTTTAAGATGCTGTGCAGCAGTGCTACAAGCAATTTTTAGAGTTTCATACCACAAAAGGAAAAAACGAATCGTTTTAGGATCATTTCGTTGTTCAAAATCAAATACCTAATCGCATATTTTGACACTCACAAGGAAATCAAAACCTATATGGTACTTCCGGTCGACCTAGAATATTATGAAGCAATGTCTTACAGCACAAGAAAAAGTCAGAAAATCGTAAAATGTCCCAAAAAAAGTTAATTAATTATACGTTTTGGAGATTGATTTTGGGGGAAACATAAAACACTCATGAAAAGGGAAAAAAATGTTCGATACTCAATTCATATGACAGAACAACTACTTACATATTACCTACAAGTTTGTACAGAAGCCTCGGTGCGCTTTTTTGTCCCTTTTCCTTTTTTGTAGCTTTATCTGAAATACATATTAGAAACAAAAAACGTATACTTATCATTGATGATAACATAAAAAACAGTGAAGCAAATCAATAACGAATTACAAATACCTAAATACCTGATTTATTAATGTGCATATATGCACATTTCCTTATGTGTAGCTTAATCAGTTGATTATCAAGAACTAAGTTTGATATCTGAAATAATTGTCAGGCGAAATTTGACAAAACTAATCGAACATTTGGTACAATTTTTCGTAAAGCATAAAGTAGCGATAAGATATTACATATTACGTAATCATCTACTATTTGTCATGGCAATTCTAANTATCATAAAACTTTTATCTAAAGGAGTCTTGAAAGATAAACTTATAATTAATTTGGGAATTTAGGAACAACTTATTAGAATAGTATATAAGTTTTATATTAAAAATAATAAGGTGTATACAAATTAACAAAAATAAAATCAATTTGAATATTTAAAGCCAAGAATAAGAATAATTGTGGCAGATGCAGTGGCACAAGCAATTTTGAACCATTTTTTGTTGCCCCTATTCCTCTTTTGTGGCTTTATCTGAAACATAAAAAACAAACTGACCTTAATATAAAAACCAGTAAAGCAAATCAACAGTGAATCACATAAGTAATTTAATTTAAGTACTAAATTAATTACTTTTCATCTTAATACCTTTGTATAAAGCATTCTCAGTTGATTTTCAAAAGAATTAATACACGAATTAAGGCATTTAACAGCATTGGTAAGTTTGGTATCACAAACAACCACATCTTTTCTAAGGGCACACGCCAAGTTTGCTTGATGAAGACTTAGCTGAGCCAAAATTTGACTTAAAACTAATTGTACATATTCCTTTGTAATAGTACAATCGATATTCCTCCTAAGGCAAAAGACAACAGTAAAATATTATCTTAAATGTTATTTATTTATTATTTTACTCAGCATGTATTTGAAGGGTTGATGCTTGTTTTATAATTTTCTTTCTAATCTCAGTGTCCTCAATTCCCAGTAGCCTCAAATCATCATCGTTCAAAATAGGCAAAGTGGTAGCATCCACACCTTGATTTCTAAACATTTCTAAGAATGCTTCTGCACTGCATGTTCTCAATACCGATTCTAATATATCCATATTATACTCTTGATAATTTAAGTAATTGGGGGGCCTTAAATATGAACACAATTACATAAATGTTTATGTTTTATTTTATTTACATACCGTTTATGTTATTATCGGGATAACTACGAAGGCATAAAAGGTTAATTTTATTTATTTTTTTACTCAATTTTCAAGTAATTGCAAACTTTTTTGGAATACAAATTTTAATTATATACAAGAAAACATAACCTATAATACTCATTCAAATTTAATGAAAATTAGAACTTTTGAATATTAGGGATAATGCAATTGTTCTGTCAATTTGATTGATTTCTATGGTCAAATTTGTCAAAAGTTAAATGCAAGGCGCGGTTGCATACGTACATGTGTTTATTTAAATAATATGTTTATAACTAAACAGCATTAATTTGCAAAGTTAAGGAAATATCTGATTAATAAATAGTAATTATAGCAAATTGAGGAAATGTTTTTGATGGTACTAAGCTTTTGGACCTGAATTATAATTCAACACAACTAATAACAGTGACGTGGAACTAATATTTGGGCAGCTTATTAATTTTTATTTAGATATTTAAATTAAGTAGGATAAAATAGTCATAATAGCAAAAATGTTTGAAATATCAGACACCCAAAGTAAGTCTTACTTTAAAATCTTAAAAACTTTTGTTCACAACTAACCTTTCTTTTAGAGATTGGTGTAGGTCTGGCTGGATTTGGAATTTTTTTCCTATTCTTAGGGATGTTGCTCCTTTTTGATAAAAGCCTTTTAGCCCTAGGGAACGTAAGTGTAAATTAATGGAATATCTAGTTTCTGCAGTAGAATCTATTACGATAGGTTAAGTAAACTATCTTTCATTTTGCTTTTAGATTCTTTTTATAAGTGGTTTAGCATGTGTTATTGGATTAGAAAGAACATTTAGATTTTTCTTCCAAAGGCACAAAGTAAAAGCATCAATTTCATTTTTTGGAGGCATAATTATAGTTCTTACAGGTTGGCCTCTTGTAGGAATGCTTTTTGAAATGTATGGATTTGTTTTATTGTTCAGGTAAATAATTTAAGAGGTAGGAGTATGATTCTTTTTAATTCTTCATATAATGTTTCAGTGGGTTTTTCCCTGTTGCTATTAACTTCCTTCGAAGGGTACCTGTACTAGGAACATTCCTAAATTTACCAGGAATTAGTGGTGTAAGTAATTAAGCCAGTTTT